GTAAATTACTGCAAAACGATCTTTCTATGACTGGCTTTGATTGGATGATAACAACAAAAAACACATGACTTAGTAATCCGTATTTTCCTATGAAATACGAGTTTTTGCTATGCTATAAGGAATGGCAGATAATTTATGATCTTCCCGAGATAGAATAACTTAAAGAGCAACAAAAATTTTTTTAACATATTTTAGACATTATAATGCCTTGTACAGACTTGATTACTTAACATATAAAATACCCAATGACACGTGGTCACAGGTCACAAAATACATATTTGTGTAGTGATAAATACACACTTTAATACTTATTATCTTTATATAAATTTGATATAAATTGTAAGAATTACACAGATATTTTTGAAACATTATCTTAAAAACAACATTATTCTCAAGGCTTTGACTAGTGCTCCGAACGGGTCAAGTTGGGTTACGAGCCAACCTGAACTGACCCAAAATTTTAGGGCTAATATATTAAATTTTTTTAAGAAAAGAATTCAATCTCCCTTTTTGCTCTTAATCATTTAAACAATGTTCACCGAAGTTGGCTAATCAAATCTAAGCGGGTATGCTTATAACTCAGCAGGCTACTACAGTAAGAATTGTGCATAACATATTTAGAATCAGTTAAAGTTTTTTTATTTTTGTCCTATGGATTCATGGAATTATTATAAAAAAACTTTACTGATTTTGCTGCAAGTTAAAAAGAATTGAGGCAATCATTAAAACAAAGTCAGCAGTTAAGATTTTCCAAACTTTGATCAATAATACCACGATAACTGCCAACCTAAAATCGATAAAACTTTTTTTATTTTTATTCTATATATGGATTAGATAGGTAATTGCTGAGATATTTTCGTTCAATGTTCGAAAAAAGTATATACAGTCAACTCTCTTTAAGTGCAACCCCTCTAAGTGCAACTTCTCTCTAAATGCAATTAAATAGTCTGGTCCCATGTTGGGACTTATAACATAAATGTAAGTTCTTTATTCTCTAAGAGCAAGTTTTTTTAGCCAGCATATATAAAATTATTTTCCTAATTGCAAGATATTTTATTAGCCAAATAAATTGACTAATTTAATTAAAGTTTTTTTTTCTAAGTGCAAGATATTTTTTTAACTTATAAACTTAAATTAATTATATATTAATTTAGTTTTCTTTAAGTGCAAGTTCCCTCTAAATGCAGATATTTTGCTAGCCCGTTGACTTGCATTTAGAGAGAGTTGACTGTAATATTATTACCAGTGATTTTTGATTTCATTAGCTCATCAAACCAATTTCAATATGTGTAATATTTTAAAGTAAAAATCCACGTTAAAGTTAGATTAGAAATTATAATTTTTTATATTATAGCGCAGAATGTGGTTTCATAGTCAAAATTTCAAGTTACGTATTGTCATTTTTTTAAAAATGTCATTTTCACGTTTCTTAATAACCCTAGCTGCCGCAACAAAATTTCATGACAGATTCTCGATTTTGATTGGCTAAGGATGAAACCACAGAGCCTATTTAGAGAAAATTGTTCCTGGTTAATTTTACCATAATACGGGATTATTTTCCGAAAATTTATATTTTCGTAATGAAAAAATCAAAAGTTAATTGCGGCCGGAAATTAGTAAAAAATTATGTAATGTGGGCCAAAATTTGCAAATCTGCGACCGTTAACCAATCAAAATCGAGTGACAGTTTTGTGTCGATCGTTTGAAGAAATTTGATTGGTGCATACTGACTGTCTAAAATATTATTTAAAAATACATATGAGTGTCGCCAAAAGAAAACCCGACAATTTAAATATAGTCAATATTTATATTGTCGGGTTTTCTTTTGGCGACACTCATATGTACTTGCTACTAGAACAAAAAAAAACAAAAATGCTTACGTTCAACCCGAACCCGACCTGATTCGGAGAACTCATACAGCAACCCCAAAAATTTTCCGAACATTTCCGATTTATGATTTACGAAATTTGATTGGATGAAATTGACGATCTTTAATAACGACGTCATATATTTTTCAAAATTTTGAGCGATGATATCATGATAACTTCATATTCAAAATCGATATGTTTTTTTAATTTTAATTTTATGAACTAATAGAATTTAAATAAGAAAATTTTCATAGATTTTGGATGAGTAGTTATCGAAATATCAACACTCAAAGTTTGAAAAAAACTTGGCTACAGTCTATTTTTATAAACTTTGAGTGACGATATCTCAATAACTACATATTTAAAATCGATAGAATTTTTTATTTTAATTCTATTGGTTAAACTGATTAAAATTCATCGATTTTGGATGAGTAGATATCGAGATATAATCGCTCAAAGTTTGGAAAAAACTAGGCTGCAATCTTTATTTTGGTAATCGTCTAAATTTCTTATGAACTTTGAGAGATAATATCTCGAGAACTATATTTTCAAAATCAATATAATTTTTTTTATTTTAATTCTATGGATTCATAGAATTAAAAAACAAATTCATTGATTTTGGATGAGTGGTTATTGAGATATAATCGCTCAAAGTTTGGAAAAAGCTAGGCTGCACCTTTATTTTGGTAATCGCCTAAATTTCTTATGAACTTTGAGCGATAATACCTCGATCATTAGATATCCATAACCAGCATATTTTTTTATTTTAATTCTATGGATTTATAGAATTAAAATAAAAATTTATTGATTTTGGGTGAGTAGTTATTGAGATATCATCTCTCAAAGTTTTGAAAAAGTTAGGCTGCGTCTTTATCGTCTAAATTTCTTATGAACTTGGAACGATAATATCTCGATCACCAGATATCCAAAATCGGTGCATTTTTTTTATTTTAATTCTATGGATTCATAGAATTAAAATATAACTCATTGATTTTGGATGAGTAATTATTGAGATATCATCACTCAAAGTCTGAAAAAAGCTAAGCTGCGGTCTTTATTTTGATAATCGTCTAAATTTCTTATGAATTTTGAGCGACAATATCTTAATAACCATATATTCAAAATCAATATAATTTTTTTATTTTAATTTTATGGATTCATAGAATTAAAATAAAAAATTTTTATTAATTTTTGACAAGTAGTTATCGAGATACCATCGCTTAAACTTTGAAAAGAATATATAATATTGTTATTAAGGATCGTCAATCTCATCCAATCGAATTTCGTGTAACCAGGAGAATTTTGCTGTATGAGTAGAGCAATGATCAAAACTTTTGGCCGGAATTACTCAGAATTCTACTAATGTAACCACAGAGCCTATTAAACAATTACCATATTTGTGTAACAATAAATATACACGCATAAGTAAATTGAAATGCACACCTCTAATTATTTATTTCTTCATAAAAATGTCGAGGATATAACGTAAAAATTATAAAGCATAACAGATAATGAACTTAACATACTACAAATTTGACTTTCAAAATCATCGTATGCGATAGTAAAAGATGAAAAAGGAGGTAGTTGTACTGGGTTGTAAATAGAGATGGGAAAAATGCACATTTGATAATAACATGCGCATGTTATATAAAATGCGAATGATATCGCATGATATAATTTCCTTGATTTTATATTTTCCTTCCGGAAAATATCGGTTATTTGCCAAAATTTTTTCTCGACCCTTCTTATATTTATGTTGATTCATTTTTTTTCAGAATTTTTCAAAACTTTTGTATTCCTATTTTTTAATTTTGCCTGGCATTATACACCTTGGCCTAAATTAAATATACTTTAATTTTCCTATATAAAATTTAGATGGGATAAAAGGCGCATGATTCCGAATCATGCGCATTAATGCGCACGATTGAGAAATCATTGCACGCATGAAACCCATCTCTAGTTGTAAATAAAAGTGAAAAAATTTCTTGAAAATGTCTAAGTTGTCCATTAATTATCAAAGTGTTAGTTTTTATGCTATATTCACATATGGTACACAAATGAATAAATTAAACGGTTAATAACTTAAACGTTAAGTAATTTTAAATACATAACACCAATATAAATTCAGGCTTAAGTTTTTTTTCCCTAATAAAGATAATAATCATATTATTCTAAATATTTGTTCGGTATGTGTAAACGTACGTACGTACGTATATACGTCCTGTCAGAAAGAACTGACAAATATTGAAGTATCCTAACACAACAAATCACATGAAAACGCAATCCAATCAGATTGATGAATTCGGATACACCCTTTCACTTGCCATATAATCATGCACTTCGTTACGCTCCGTTCCTGGTACTTGGTAAATTTTACCTTTAGCTCCAATTGCTAGTTTTTACAAGTTCAGTTCGTGATTTCATTAGTTCTCCTTAATTTTTTTTTTTTTTTGGCAAAAGTCGTCGACTTTCGTAACACGAAATCCCCTAGCTTTCGCAACCTGTCTTATGATAAATAAAAAAGAAAGATCGCTTGAAGATTGAACCAAACGATGCTCGCAAAAATTTATCTTATTTAGTATTTGTCATAAACTAATAACTTTCTATTTTTTAAAAATAAAAAACCCCTCTCCCAAAAAATTCAAAACTCAATAGAAAAGAAAAAAGAATTAGCAAATACCAAGACTATGAAAATTTTTATTGGAATCCGCCTATATATAATCATGAACACATAAAAAGACATCTCACGCTTTGTTAATTTACTAATTTATACTGAATTATTGATAATGAGCAGATAGAAACTCTAATTGTCTTGGTGAGTTTTTCCAATAGATTTTATTTAAACAAAGTTGTTTTCATATGATGAAATAAATTAACTATATATCATGCATATCTAAAAAAGAACCATAAAAATTGTATAATCTATTTTATCGAAAATGAAATTTAAAGATTGCATGAATAGCAAATTATTAAAATTGCAATCTTTGAGATATTTGAAAATTTACTTGGGTATATTATGACAATAAATTTAAATTGATATAAATGGTTAAATTAAAGTAAAATAATTAAATATAATAATAATTATTAACACCAACTATTAAAAAGAGGCTAACACAAATTAACAGCCATGAATTAGAGTAATTGATATTCATTGTAGCGGAAGACTTTACTGAACTAGGAGTGGAAGAAGATTTTGCTGCACTAGAACCGGATGATGATGATGATGATGATGATGATGAAGCATGTGTGGCAACAGCTTGGACGGTAGAGGCGGTGGTAGTAGTGGTTGCAATAGGCTTACTTTCATTATAATAGATACCAGGAAAACCTAAACAGTCAGCAACTGGCTTAATATTACGTTTTGC